ATGATCGAACAAGGACACTTGAAGCCAACCAAGGTGTGCGTGCAAAAGTCGAGCTCAAGTTTGATAACAGTGAGGTCAACAATTTATATGTACTTTTATCTTAAGTGATGAAAAGAAAGCATGGTAATGATAGTGCAACTGTTATAAAAAATCTCAAGATTGTTCACCTTATTCCTTGCAAGGACTTTAGTTTGATTATCATCCCTTTTAGGGTTGAGTCTTATTTGACTGCATGAGGCTTGGATCTTTTATTTGGGTGATTGTAACTCTTATTCTTTTTTATTAATTTTTTTATTAATTAGTTTGCATTTTATTAGAATTTTGTAAGGTATGATATACATTGGATTTCTTATCTTAGTATGCGATCGATGACTTAAATTTCATGTCCGTTCTTTGTCTTCTTATGAATTTTAAATTTTTGTGACAATTATATTGGGAATGAATGTGGGTTTTGTCTTTTATATTATGAGTGATTCTTTTTTTCTAAAATTAAGATTGTTAACTTGTGGGTAGGGCTGTAAATAAGCCGAGCTTGAGCAAGCCCAATGTTTGTGCTTGTTTGGCTTGTTTGAATTTTTTTTGGCTCGAAGTAGGCCCGTGTACGAAATGGCTTATGAATAGCATGATAGTGTTCGACTCGATTCAAATTCATTTGTTTGTTTTAGCTTATGTATGGCTCGAAATAATTATTTGTTGAAATTTAATAAATCAAAATAATAATTAAATTTTGGAAATTATTTTTTCTATATTAAATACATTCAAATGGGAGAAAAATACTAGTCAAGTTCTATATTCACAGCCCCATGGCCCGCATGCAATTGAAGCTTTCAAACCATTGTGTTTGGTTTTTTCCATTTCAACAACAATGATAAAAACTACACCTTTTTCATTCCCAAATAAGGTGGCGTATGTGCAAAAACTGAAGTTTAGGCATTGGATATGTAAATGCATAAGAATCGAGTAGTAGGTATATAAATCTTCCAAAATTCTATCTCCTATGTTTGGTCTTTTTTTTCCAGTTTTTTTTTAACAGCATTTGTTGAAAACTATACATTTTGTTGAGATATTTGAGTGAATTTGATTTTTTTGTTAATAATACAAAAAAAAAAATTCATTTTACTTTATTTAAATTAAATTATAATTTTAGTTATATTTTATAACGGTCAATATCAAGCTTTAAAAATTTAATATAGAATGATATAATGATATTATTTATTTATTACTTCATTAATTCAAGCTAAAATGAGCTTAACATGATTGAACAAATGTTTGTTCGTGTTCTGACTCTTTTATATATCGAGCTCAAAAAATATGTTTGTATTTGACTTGTTTGTTTAACAAATAAATCAAACATGTGCTACTAAGTGAGCCAAATACAAGCTACTCATGAACGACGAGCTTTTTTTTACAGCCTTATTTTTGCATTTTGATTTTTTGTATTTTTGTTGTACATCTAATTCCAAGGTTTTATTAATGACCTTGAAGCTTTGATTGTCCTACTACATCAAGTTAATATCAGAGCTTTAAGTTGCATTTTAGGTCAACTAAACTTGGATATAATACTTGGCTCAATAAATAAATAAATAAAAGATGAAAATTAAATAAGGTCAATCATGGTTCTGAATGAATTCATTGTAATAATTGAGAGCATCGAAATTTATAATTAAAATGGAAGGGAGGTATAGCCTAGAGATATTTTTAGAATTATTTGATAATTTGGAGTACATTGAAGAGTGCCATTTGTTTCATTATGAAGAAGTTAAATTTGCTTAAACAAAGTTAGTTTGATATGCTTAAAATTTATTGGCATTGTGTTGCAAGCAAAACAAAATTAACCTAGGCTGACATGAAACATCAGCTTAAATAATAATATATTTCACATGGAGATTGAGACAAATTGAATAATCACTTCAAGGTTTGTAAACAAAGTAAATCTAGTGTGTTCTTATATTACAATTGGTTTATAAATCTTTTGATTAAAAATGGTTGCCTTGAGATTATTTTGTCATCATTATGTGTTTTGATAAGAGTCTTAGGTAAGAGTTTAGGGCTATCTTAAGCAATGCCTTAACCCAACCTTTATATATTTGTTAGTAATATCACACCTATAATTAAAATCTCTGAAATGAAATTTTATTATCTCCTCTCAAGCCTATCATGCTTGTGTCGGCATAAGAATTATGCATGATTAAACTGTTTTATTGAAAAAATATATTCATATCCTTTCGAAGATATATTAAATGAGGAATTAAAACTACAATTGAATTCTGTTGATGTTGTGGGATCTAAATTTTCACCTACATTAGGATTTTGTCCTTATTCTACATTTGGAGAAGTATCTAAGCCCAAAGTTGAAATTGAGTCCGAGTCTCCAAACGCCATTAGAAACTGACCTTGTAATTCCAAAGAGTTTGGAATTAAACAATAGCTAAAATTGGAAAATAAATTTCAGTGTGAAATTAATTCTGAACCTAAGCTACAAGTGGAAACTGAACTCAAAATTGAACTTGAACCACATATGATATCTAAATCTAATTCTGATTGTAAATTTAAGCTTCTTTTTTAAATTAAAACTACTCTTAAAGGTGGAGTTGAATAATTTTTGCCAGTTGATAATGAAAAATCATTTGATTAGATTGATAAAGTGATTTTTAAATGTATATGTAATCAAAAAATGCCTAAAGATGATAAATCAATTAAATAAGATGATTTGGCTCATGATGAAAGCTTTAACAAGTTATTTCTACCTATCAAATTGAAATTGACTTTTTTTTTGGTTTGTAAGTTTTTGGCATACAAGTTTTGTAGAAAGAGAGTTAGAGAGTAAAAGAGCATCAACATTTCAATGAACTGCTTGATAATGATAATCATAAATGAAACCTGAATTATAAAATTTGGTTGAATATGAAAGTGCATGAGTCATTTTTACTACCATTTAAGCCATTTGGGCTATCTTTCTTTTAGTAGTTTGTTTGTCCAAATAATAATTTCATATTCATGTGGATTGCATATTCTAATTCTCTTTATCATCTCATCATGTAGGATAAGTAATAAATCATTATTAATAATCAACAGGACACATTGGATTTTTAGTATTTTCATTACTTCTTTGCATCATTTGCTTAATTTATTTGATTTACGTGAAGTGATACACATAATGCTTAATGTTAATTATTGCAATTATGAGTCTACTTTTGATTTATAGAAGGCATGTGAAATTCAAATCAAATAATAAGAGAATGTTACATTTGAATCACTTAAGGCTTCTTTTGGGACCTTGTCACTTGGGAAGCTCTAATAGTATTTTGAACTTCAATATATGTAATTTAACTTCATTTCATGGACCTAGTATCAGTATCATGATATCCGTACTCTTTTCATCCCTTAATTAATTCACCATCTTACGTATTACTTGATGGTCTGCTCATCTTACTTTAGAAGTTTACTTAAATGCATGGATAGTATCTATTATTGATGGTAGATATTACAGATTTTTTGAACTTTGAGATGACCAGTCATTTATGAGAAGCAACGTGCATTTGATGAGTTTGGATGATTTTATTTATAAATTAGCTAGACCAATTGATTTTAATTGTAAATTTTAAAAACTAAAATGAGGAAATTATTATTTAAACCAAACTAAACCAGTTCAAACTCTAGTTTTATAAAGCCAAAAAATTGAACCAATAACTAAAAACCAAGATAGTTTATAACCAATAATAGAATTGATTCTTTAACAACCGAACCAAACCTCAACTAAATAAAATTGGTTCAGTTTCATTCAATTTTACAATTTTATCTATGTAATGCAAACTTGTGTTTGTGAGGATTCATTAGTTACCTCACCACAACTTTTATCCAAATGAGGATAGTGAATATTAAATTCTCAATTCGACGGAGCCAAACATTTGATGTATACTGAAAGCATTGAAAACACAGAAAGTGATGAGCGTTATCAGTTTTACTGTTGTATGTTTATTTTCTTCAGTTTGTTTTAATGTAAAACATCCGTGTTGATGGATCCTACATGAAATGGACATGTTCACTAGTATTTTGTTGTGATTAGTTTATTACTGCAAGGTTTTGACCCAGCCTATTAAATTTCAGGGTCGGGCATTTTGAATTTATATTCAATTCAATAATTATTGAGATGAGAATTGTATAGATACTTGTTGTTGGATTAGCATGTCTTGATTCCTAGAATCGATTTTCTTACCATGCTAGTTGTTAGTACCTTTGCATGTCACTATTTTTTTCTGCCCTATTATCCCCTATCCATCTTATTGTTGTCGCCATCGTTTATTTGCATCCTGTTGTTCCTTCTTTTGATTCCTGCTTAATAATCTCCTGCTCCATTATTTCTTGCTACTCACACATCTGTGTACTGCTCTTTTTGGTTGTGTTGACCACATGCTTTGACTATTCACTTGCCTATTTGTTCTTTTCTTGAAGTAAATGAGGAAATCAATCAAGTTTTGGACTTTTTATGATATATTTATGCTGCTTGAATTCATGAATGATCTATATTTTTAAAATTGTTTAAATTAAATCTTGACAAATTATGAGAAATTTCATATTTTGAGCCTTCCTTGGGCTATAATATTAGGACCCTTGTGGCACATAAAAATCATTGAACTTGAGTTTCAAAATAAAAAAGTCAAAGTTTCTCTTTATTGTGTATGCTAGTCGAATGTGTATTCTTCGAGTGCTTTCCAAGTGTTGATGGCTATTGAAGAGGACATACCTTCTTCTACGCAACACTAGGTCTGGATCTTCCTTTTGTTGTGCTTCTATGATTGATTTTATTTTAGGTTATTTAGTTGGTTTATTTGAGTTATTGAAACTTTCTTAAGTGTGACACTTCTTGTATGTACTTACTGTGCTTCTAATTTTAGATTGCATTAGTGATACTATACTTCAACTTTCTTGCATCAAATATAATTTGTGTTAGTGTATTTCGTGTCATAAAATTTTGGTTTTTGTCTATCTTTCCTTGGTAGGGACACTGCTGGACAAGAAAGATTTAGAAGTTTAATTCCAAGTTACATCAGGGATTCATCTGTTGCGGTTATTGTTTATGATGTAGCCAGTAAGTTTTTCTTGGATCAAGAACTTTCGGTTGTTTTTTCTTAATATTTGAAAATAAGCTTTTTTTTGCTTCTGTTTTATAATATTTCAACACCTTTCATGCTTAAAACTAAGAGGAGCATATCAACTTGCTCTCTAGGAGATTTAATAAATATTGCTTCCAAGCTGGATAGGCTCCACGGGTATGTAAATCAGATATTCCTTGGCATTGAACTCTGTATTCAGCTAAACATCATTTATAATTTATAATTTGTTATATGATAAACTTAGCTTACCCTTGCAACCATTATTGCTGAACTTAAGTTTTTTTTTTTTTTTGGGTCATCTAGATAACCAAAAAGTTTGATTAAAAATAATACGGTACATGGATCCATGCAACCTATAATAAGGAGGTTGTGTTTAAATTGTTTACTGCTTTGTTGCAATGCTTCTAGTCAACACATTTTGAGCTGTGCCAAGGCCACGGTGGGATAAATTTTAAACGGCTATATTTTGGACTTTCAAACTTGAAATTAAAGAATGATAACAATCTTTTCTTTCATCTTTTCAATGAGATGTTATGTTAAAATTTACAAGACAACTCTCTGCAAACTTGTACGCTTTTTTAGGATTTAAATTAAATAAATCAGCACAAATTTCTTCCATAACAGCACGAATAGAATTGAAGTGCGTTGCTCGAGTAAGGCCACCTTATGATGCATCAACAAAACACCGACATAACACAACTATATATATTATGGAAAGAGCAACTCATGGCTCCTTACGCGTTAATGTCAAAAAGGCGGTTACAAGAAATCAGTGGGAAAACTGGATCCCCGCTAAAAAGAAAATGCATAAAGTCCCAGGGGTTCCTTTTTTCTCAATACAAGAAAATACATAAAGTCCCAGGGGTTCCTTTTTTCTCAATACAACTCCACCCAAAAAAGAAAAAAAGGTGAAACAAAGGGAAATGTAACCAAAACATACATGTATCAAACCAAAACGTATACCCAAAGAAGTGACGTATACCCTCTATGAACATGTATATCAAAAGAAGTGAAGGTAATAAAACTTGTAAGCCAACAAAAGACATCTCGAAACCAGGAAGCCGCAGAACGACCCAAAGATTCCAATCACTTGGTTTAATTCTTTATATATATAGAACTAAGTTAGGGGTTAAGGAAGCCATGAGTTTAAATTTAAAAAAAAATTAATTGTTTAAAATTTAAAAAATATTGTATGTTCTAAATTTTAGGTATTCCGCACGTATCATAAATTATTTAAGCAAATAACACCTTAATCCATACACATTGTATGTTCTAAATTTTAGGTATTCCACACGTATCATAAATTTTAATTATTTAAGCAAATAACACCTTAATCCATACACATATTTATAGAACACTCAAATATTAAATCTTTCAAAAATATCACTAATTTAGTTATTTTAAAGTAACATGCACATTTAAATTTGTATTTTTTAAGTATCATATTAAATTATAATTAATATAATTTTTTCTTAATTTTAAAGATAATATTTAGGTCTCATATTAGATAAGATTACTTCATTTATTTAAAATATGTATTAAATATTTATAAAAGTTTATTATCCATGTACAAAATTGGTTGTACACGACATTTAAATAAAACTCTTTCTTGTATTTGAAGGGAGAAGTTTGAAATATAATTTTCTCATTTGTTGGTTTAAAAAAATTAAGAAGTTAAAATGTTTAAACAAGTATTATTTATTTCTCCATTGTGTCCTATTGAGTGTCATATTTTTATTTTTTTCTAATAAATTAAAATCATTTTTTATACGACATGCCCAAGTCTTTTTAGATCTACTTCTACATTTTTTTAACATAAGTCGACTCTAAAGCATCTACTCTCCTTATTGGATCATCAAATGGTGGACATTTAATGTGACCAAACCATCTAGGATGACTCTCCCTAATCTTGTTTGCCACTGGAGCTGCACCAACTCTTTCACGGATACATTCGTTTCGTATTTTATCTTTAAGAGTCTAGCCACTCATCCATCTATGCTTCCTCATCTCAGCAGCACTTAACTTGATTTTATGCTTCTTTTTTAAAGGCCAATATTCTGTGTCATAAAGCATTGCAGGTTTCACCACCATCTTATCAAATTTCTGTTTAAGTCCAAGTGGTGTTTTTCTATCAGACAATATGCCCGATACATTTCTGCACTTCAACCATCCAACTTGAATTATACTAAGAACATCCCTATCTATATTACCATCACTTTGAACAATAGACCGGAGGTATCTAAAATTCACACCTTTTAATTATTTGATCACCCATTGTTAAAACTACCACTAGATGTACTACTACTAAAACTGCATTTCGTGTATTCAGTTTTAGATCTACTTAAATGAAAACCTTTAGACTTTAGTGTAGACGTACATAATTCAAGTTTTTTTTTAACTCTTTCTCTAATCTTATCCACAAGAAGGATATCATCAGCGAAAAGCATACACCAAGGTACATCCTCCTTTAAATGCCTAATAAGAGCATCCAAAACTAAAGCAAAAAGATGTGGGCTTAAAATTGATCCCTGATATAATCCAATTAAAATAGGAATATTCTTGGTCAATCCTCTTTCTGTTTGAATACAAGTAACAGCTCTGGTATACATATTGCTAATGACTTGAATTTAAGTCCCATCAACACTCTAGAACTCTCCAAATAACTTCTCTTGGAATCTTATTGTAAGTTTTTTTTTCTAAATCAATAAAAATCATGTGTAGATCCTCGTTACTCTCATTGTTTTTCTCCATCAACCCTCTTAATAAATATTGAATTCTTATGTTTTTGAAAAAAATGGTTGTCCTAAACTTTTCACTATATTCAGATCATACGGTACGTCGCTTTCACTTGACGCCCTAGTATTTACACAATAATTTAAAAGATTCATATCATAGTTTTTAACAAATTTTTATGCTAGTTGACAGTAAAGTAAAAGAAAGAAAGAAAAAAAAAATTATGTCAAAACTTATATGATGTAGAGTTGGAAGAGAATGAGGGCGACACAAGAAGAGTGGTTTTGGAGTAAGAGAGTAAAGGGAGAGGTGGAGCTTAAGCTAGTGCGACAGGTTGGCAATTTAACTTGTAGTAAATGGGAAGCTTGGGGGCTAAAGATCATGCTCCTCGTAAATGTTGCATATTTTTAAAAGGAATAAGTATTAATGAACTACATTGATGTTTTATATGTTGGATTTAACAAGATTTATTTGAATTATGCATGATATCGTAGTTAACCCAAACAGTAATAGAAAAATCAAATATTATTGTTAAATTCAAAATAGGGAAATAAAATCTCACAAAAAGAAATAGAAATAGCAACAGACGCGACATACAAGCTCAAGTTGAGGTTAGATTTTGGGATGGTGATGGTCGGCTACGTGGATCAGGAAGGTTGGAAAATGGCTGGAATGGTTGCAGGTTGGCGGTTGCAGAAAGTAGGGGCTTCTAGAGGGCTATTTTGGGAACGGCAGTGAGTGTACAGTGGCTGGGAGAGCTTAAAGGATAGTAGGTTAGTTGTTCCGGGTGACGACAATGAGGGAAAGGGGATTGCGACAAGGGGCAGCAAGATGGAGGTCTGGAACAATGATAACAGTGGGTATGGAGGGTTGGAACAGAAGCGTCAACAAAAGGGGAGGGCTAAAAGGGCAATGCGCGATGCGGTGGATTGTCGGGCATCAAAAGGACAGTTGTCCAGGCAGTGACAATGAGAAAAATGACTGGGCCATGAGGAAACTACTGGAAAACATCAAACGAAGGTTGTTTCGGGCAGTTGCGGCAGGATAGGGACGGTCAGGAGCGATTTGGGGAGAATGCTAAAGGGAATATAGATGATAATCATTATCTTGAGAGTGTGCAGTTGGAACATGACCCGAACCCTTTCTTGAAGGGTAAAAGAGACGTTGGTGGTTGTCCCGAAACAAAACACATAAAAAACTAACCCTATATCTCACGAAAGCAAATATATAATAATAAAATAACTAGGAGTGGCTCAAGAGGATCTGTCGACTCCTCAGAAGAAAGTAAACCTGGAGCTAAATATGCTTGGGCGTTGAACGCCCCGCGTCAGTCTCTTTTGTTACGGAAGCTTTGATCTCATTCATCAAAGGGTTTGTTTGCACATTGAGAGTGACAGAGCTACTATGACCTACCAGGGTTGAAGGTCCTCGACTGTGCCTTTAGAAGCATCTGGATCCCGAAAACATCTGAGGAGTTTTTTTTGACTTGTGAGCAACCATCCATATTAGTCCAAACCTTCTGGGGTTACACTATGGAACTTAACGAGGACTACATGTCACGTATGTTCTGCCGAGTTCTTGAAAAGTAATCCCAAGTTGGCCCAACCTTTTGTGAATTAAGGGCAGACTGAATCTCCTTGAACGGTAACAGTCATGGCGGTAAGTAAGTTATCAAACAAGACATCCTAAAACTTTCTCTGTATTAGCTGGTCTGTGTCTGAAATCGGCTCTCATGTTTCTCTCTCCTCTGTCATCATCAAAGCTAATCCTGCAGGCACTTCTCTACGTGCAAGCGCACCTGTACTCTTGGACTTCAATGAAAGTAGGACTGTGTTTGTCATCTTTAATGAAGGAATAAATGTTCCTGAACATATTATGCCTAGTCTTTCTATCAAACTGCCACAGTCTCCCCAACAAAATGTGGCAGATATCTATGGGCACCATGTTGCACCCCACCCAATTCTGCAGCTGGTTCTTAATCGAAAATTTCACGAGTCACCTCTTGTCAATGCTCATCCTGTTCTCCTTCTTCAACCACGTCAGGAAATATGGCTAGGAATGTCTTTGACTCGTGAGACTCAATTTTTCTATCATTTACGTTGACACCATGTTCTTGTTTCTCCCTCCATCAATGATGAGACCGCATACATATTCGTTCATAATGTATTGGGTGTAGAATATGTTGTGACGAAGCAGCTGCTGCTCTCATGTAGCCTTAATTTGAGCTCAATTTTTCTATCAT